TCTTCTCCACTGTATCCAGTCTGCTTTTAATACCCTCCATCGTGCTCTTCAATGATTGGATCTCCGACCTGAATTCATTCCTGAGTTCTTGGATATCTTCCTGTACCTCCATAAGCATGTTGATGATTTTTATTTTGAACTCCCTTTCAGGAAGAGTCATAAGGTCCATGTCATTTAAATCTTTCTCTAGAGTTATATTAATTTTACTCTCGACCAGGTTTCTTTCACATTTCGTATTTGTATATGGTGCCCTCTAGTGTCCAGAAGCTCTACTCTTTGGAGCTGTTCAGCCCCTGAAGCAATGTCAAGGGTTGCAGGGGAGTCGGTATTGGTGCCTGGAGAGAGGAAAGAGCTGTTTCCTGCTTCCCAGCTGCTGTGCCTGTCTCCACTGCCTGAACCAGTGGGCCAAGCACACAGGTATAAGCTTTTGTCCCAGAGCAGCCGGATATGGATCCCTGCTTTCCAAAAGCGGCTGGGATCTCAGTCTCTCCAGGTATTCTGCCTGTCTTAGATGGCCAACCCCATAATCACACAAGTATCATGAAAGCACCATGAAATGTAGGTTTGTGTTCCCAGAGCAGATCTCCAGAGTTAGGTATTCAGCAGTCCCAGGCCTCCAGTCCCTCCCTGCTCAGTTTCTCTTTCTCCCGCTGGTGAGCTGGGGTGGGGGAAGGGCTTGGGTCCTGCCGGGCCACAGCTTTGGTATGTTACCCTGTTCCACGAGGTCTACTCTTTTCTCTGGGTGTATGCTGTCTGGCACAGTCCTCTTTCCTATTGCTCTCTCAGGATTTGTTGTATTAATTATATTTTCATATTATATGTGGTTTTAGGAGGAAACCTCTGTCTCACCTCTCATGCTGCCATCTTTAATTCCACCTCCCTCCTCTTTCTGCTATGTAGAGTCATATTACTGAATGTCTTTATAAAGTGAAAACTATACAATGAGGTAAACTAGTCTGGGTGCTTGAAAGGGTATGAGAACATTGCTCTTGTAGTCTTGTAGTTATTAGCTGATTCAATTCATGAAATGGTTGTGTTCTACTCTAAAAATAGGCCCAATAACCATCATAAACACTTCTTTGAACTGCCATCACTCAGGGGTTGACAGGTATCAAACTGTACGTTTCTAACTCATCCTGAGAAATACATCAGATCAGAACATGTAATGGTCTCTTAACATAAAGAATTTCATTTGTATGTACTCTGTTGGAAAGGTTGAAAAAACAGTTGAAAAACAATTCGAATTACAGAGAGAGCTATGGGTAATAAATAACATTTCAGAAATCAAAATTTCTGAGAACCCCTATTACCTGCATGGAGTGGAAGAGGGGTTTTTATTGACTCTCCCGCACCCCTTGCCCCGAATTTAGCATATGGTTGGAGCTCAATAAATAGCTTTCAATAAGTGGTGTGCTAAGTGCCACCTCAAGGAATTTCACCCATTCCTTAGCAATTCACTTCAAAAGAGATAAAGATGACTTCCGCCCTTGGTAAGCAGAAACTTGAGGAGAGTAACTGAAGGCAGCACAATCCGCATGTGGCGCCGGGTCCTGTGGCAACAGATGGAGAAGGAGCAGATGCTGAGGGAAACCCCTGTGCACCCGGCCATGTCCAGGGGAGACAAGCACCATCCAGCGGCAAGTTACTCGCAAGAGGCCCCCGCTCTGCACTTACCTCCTGCCTCTTTTCTTCTGGACCTGAAACCCCACAGGGGCTCTGCTGAGGGTGGCTGCTGGCTCCGCTGTCCTCACCACCTTCGCCACAGGTGGCTTGCTCTGAATCCTGCAGGGACACAGGCCCCTGCCCCCTCCGAGCAAGACCCTCTGCCCTTTCCTCACTGTCCCCTGAACACAGGGACTGTGCACTGAGACGGCTCCCAGCGCCTGGGCTCTGGGGGCCGGAAGGCTTCGGTGTGGTGGGCCTCAGGGGAGTGGAGGGTTGCTCCAGGTCAAATGAGAACTGGCTCCCAGGGGGTGCTGCACCCCAGGCTTTGCTCGACACTTGGCAGGCAATCGGGCCCGATACGGCGCTGCTGGCGCACAGACAGGTGCTTGCCGCCGCCCCGGAGCTGCTACCTTCCAGGGGCACAAGGGCTGCTTCCACGGCTGCCCGGGACACTGGCAGCAGGGCAGCCCCGAGGCCCGGGGACCCCGCGCACCTGCTTCGCACACGATCCAGCTCAGCGCCCGAGGACGCCCGGCGCGAGTAGTCATCGTGCAGCAGGCTGTGCAGCTGCAGCCGCCTGCCCACCTCGGGCGACCCACCACAGGTGCGCTCTCCCCCCTGGGCCAGGTCGGTGGCACTGCCCAGGAGCCTCCGGACTCGGCCCAAGCCCTTGGCCTGGAGCGGGCTCCTCCAGCGCCGCGGCCTCCGTGTGGGCCCACTGAGCCTCTCCGCGTCAGCCACCGAGCTGCTGGACGTCCTGCGCAGTGCCAGCCTCGCCTGCGTACCCCTGGGCTCCAGGGGGTCCAAGGCGGCCTTGCGTGGGAAGGGGCCTCTGCTTAGGAGGCTCAGGGTGTCGGTGCTCCTGCTCCTCCCAAGGGTGCTGCTGCTGCTCTCAGGCTCCATCACCAGAAGCCCACACCCCGGGGGACCCCGGCAGCCCGGGCACAGCTCCTGGCCGCGGCCCTGCAGGCTGAGGCGGCCCGGGCCGTAGGCGCGGCGGAGGCTGCGGGAGCGGTGCGTGCTCCTCTGGAAGGCATCATCTGCATCCTCGGGGTCCGAGCAGTCGGATGTGGCCCCTGGCCCCGACCCGTGTATGGCGCCATTCGGGGCAGTCCTGCCCAGGTTGGGCTCTGAGGCATCTCCCTTGGATGCACCTGCTGCCGCTCGGTTCTGAATTCCCTGAAGGACTGAAGACTTCAATTTTTTAAAAGATCCCATTTTCCGAAAGGAGGCGAGGGCGTTCCACGTGGAGGTCTGTCCCACCACGACCCCGGAGCGCGGCCTCTCAGGGAGGGCGCCTGTCCTCTTCCTGCTCACTGAGAAGAGGCGAAGGAGCTTGGCGGGGCTGAGCCTGGCGTCCGGCGCTTGCACCTCGGGGCCGTGACTGCCGCTGCACCCCCCATTCTGGCACGCTGGGTAGGTCACCATTTTGGGGTCTTTCGGATCTGAGACTGAACAGGAAATTGCAGCAAGTCGCCCATGCCCATTCTGGGCTGTTGTCATGTTCTCTGGGCCGGGAACCCGTGGCCACAGGGCAGTGTGGTTCAAACCCACAGGTGCACCTGTGTCCAGTGGCCCCGGGTGCAGACCTGCATCTCCTGGGAGGCTGCTGGCCTGGCGTTCCCACCTGCTGTGCACATCAGGCTCCTCAGCTGTGTCCACCGCCTGCAGTGGAAAACAAAGCAGGGGTTAGCCATTTTCCCCCACAGAAGAGCCTCTGTAAGCAGAGGCTAGTTATTGTTTACTAATTGCTTACAAAAAAAAAAACAAATCTCCCCATGACAGGGCTGATCAAAGAAAACTATTTCAAATTAAGTTACAATTTTACCTTGTTTTCCAATTCATTTCACATTAAAGGGAAGAATGCAAATACATTCTTTTAAAAAAATACTCATGGGGGAGGTGGAGCCAAGATGGCAGTGTGAGTAGAGCAGTGGAAATCTCCTCCCAAAAACATATATTTTTGAAAATACAACAAATACAACTATTCCAAAAAGAGAGACCAGAAGACACAGGACAACAGCCAGACTATATCACATCCACACCTACAAGAACCCAGCACCTCGCGAAGGGGGTAAGATTCACATCCACACCTGCGAGAACCCAGCACCTTGCAAAGGGGGTAAGATACAAGCCGTGGCCCGGCGGGACCCGAGTGACCCTCACCCCAGCTCCTGGCAGGAGGAGAGGAGTCAGAGGGAGAGGGGTCCCAGGACTGCTGAACACCCAGCCCTAGCCACCCGCACTGGAGCGCAGACACACAGTCCATGGGGTGCTGGGTACTGGGGAAACGGGACAGAAAAACCTGTGAGTGGGTACCCACAGCCAGTGCTGCTGGGACAAAGAAAAGCGAGTGCTTTTTGAAAGTCTTAAAGGGACAGGGACCCCACAACTGGACAGAGGCATCCCAGGACACTTAGCCCAGCAGCTGGGAATCCCAGGGAACTCCGGGCGCCCCAACCCCCTGGGCGGCAATGCAGCTCCGAGGCCCCTCATGGAGATAAACAGCCTCTGGCCCAATTCCCCTCCTGCGCGACTCCGCCATAGAGGCAGTGGCCACGCCCACAGCAACCAAGCATGGAGCTTCCTTCACAGCGGCCAGGCAAGAATCAGACACCCCATCTGCACGCAGCTGCCCAGCACAGGTCACTAGAAGTCACTGTTGTCCCAGGAGAGGAAGGCCACAAACTAGCAAGAAGGAACATTCTCCCAGCCAACACACGCATCAGCTCCCCGCAACTACCTCTATCACAATGAAAAGGCAGAAGAACTTGATACAGACGATTTTAACCCAGACAGTCTCCCCTTAAGAGGAATCTGGGAGATAGACCTAAACAATCTTCCTGAAAAAGAATTTAAAAGTAAGGTCATAACCATGCTGATGGACTTGCAAACAAATATGCAAGAGCTAAGGAAAGAGAATACAGAAATAAAACAATCTCTAGAAGGATTTAAAATCAGAATGGATGAGATGTAAGAGGCCATTGATGGATTAGAAACCAGAGAACAGGAACACATAGAAGCCTACGCAGAGAGAGATAAAAGGATCTCCAGGATTGAAACAACATTAAAAAAACTGTGTGACCAATCCAAATGGAACAATATCCACATTATAGGGGTACCAAAAGGAGAGAGAAAAAGGGATAGAAAGTGTATTTGAAGAAATAATTGCTGAAAACTTCCCCAAACTGGGGGAGAAATGGTCACTCAGACCACAGAAATACACAGAACCCCCAACAGAAGGGACCCAAAGAGGACAACACCAAGACACATAATAATTAGAATAGCAAAGCTCAAGGACAAGGACAGAATTTTAAAGGCAGCCAGAGAGAAGAAAAAGGTCACCTACAAAGGAAAACCCATCAGGCTATCATCAGACTTCTCAAAAGAAACCTTACAGGCCAGAAGGGAATGGCATGAGATATTTAATGCAATGAAACAGAAGGGCCTTGAACCAAGAATACTATATCCAGCACGATTATCATTTAAATATGAAGGAGGGATTAAACAATTCCCAGACAAGCAAAAGTTGAGGGAATTTGCCTCCCACAAACCACCTCTACAGGGTATTTTAGAGGGACTGCTCTAGATGGGAGCACTCTTAAGGCTAAATAGATGTCACCAGAGAAAATAAAATCACAGCAAAGAAAGCAGACTAACCAAATACTAACTAAAGGCTAAAAATAAAATCAACTACTCACAAAGCAGTCAAAGAAAACACAGAAGAGCACAGAATAAAACACCCAACATATAAAGAATGGAGGAGGAGGAATAAAAAGGGAGAGAAATAAAGAATCATCAGACAGTGTTTATAATAGCTCAATAAGCAAGTTAAGTTAGACAGGAAGATATTAAAGAAGCTAACCTTGAACCTTTCGTAGCCATGAATCTAAAGCCTGTAATGGCAATAAGTACATATC